TGAGATCCTTGGCATCTGAGCATGGATATAAAGTTATTAGGTAGATTTCAATGGTAATGTTTTTCACATCTACTAATTATTATGGAGAAAATTTATTTATTTATTTTTAGTCTTTTTGAAGCAGGGTCTCCCTATAAGCCCCAGCTGTCCTGTAACTCACTATGTAGACCAGGCTGGCCTTGAACTCACAGAGATCCGCCTGCCTCTGCCTCCCAAGTGCTGTTCTTAGCATCTGAGCATAGATATAAAGTCATCAGGTAGATTTTAATGGTAATGTTTTTCACATCTACTAGTTATTAAGGAGCAATTTTATGCTTTGAAGAATTTTTTTTTATAGACCTACTTCCCAGGTAGCACCCTACCACAGCCTCCCTCTCCCCACTAGAGCCCTTATACTCTGATAATCCCTGCTACTGTCTGCTGTGTTGTCAGCACCCTAGCCATTCCCCACTACTTGCCCTTCTGGTGAATCTAGTCAGCCTATCTAGAGGTCTTTGTTTTAGGAGGGTCAGCTGTTCCTCATCTAGCGGTAATCTGTTGGCAATATTCCTTTAGCTAAGATTGGGGTCTGCTGTTCAATTTCCCAGTTCTGTGCTGGGTTACTATCTGGGAATCCCTTTGGCCACCCTGGCCAACAGCTCAAAAGAAGGTATAGCCTCTCTGGCATTGTTCCTTGTTATGTAGCCTTTAGCTATACATATAGACTCTTATGAAATTATATTGGACCCTTGAAACATTGGTTATACTTTCCTTTTGGGTGTTTAAGGCCATACAGTTGGTGCAGATAAACCGATTTATTTTTACTCTTAAGGTCGTTTGAGGATCTGTTCCTCAGGGGTCACATGGGCTTGGGAGGAGCCCCTGGCTCCTTTCTTTTACCAGTTCTGCCTATTTGAAGATAAGTCAAAGGTCCTGCTTGAACATGGTTGGCTTTGCTTGGAAGCATGGAGGAAATGATTCCTCTGTGTTGACCCTCCTCTTTATAGACTGGACACTGGTTC